TCTACAGGCGTACAATTATACAAAACATCAGTCCATGTTCAAATAGTAACAATATCATCATTTAATATATCATCTAGTGTAACGATTAATCTATCTACTCTCCTTTCTGTACAAAATTGAACATTCTATTAGCATTCTATTTACACAGGTTACAAAATAAGTGCTACAGATTATTCCAGTCCTGCAACATCAGACTTCAAAAGAGCGATCACCGATTGTTGTCCTTTTTAGAATGAACGTTTATTGTCTTCATCTGTAACACTATGGGCTTGATGATAATATCCTTTCTGCGGTACCCAGTTTACTGAATGCTCATGTAATGTTTAAGCAATTTAGAATAGCGAAAATAATTCTACCTCTTCGCTAAGTTTTCAATTCCCTTTACAATAAAATGCAAACAAATGAGTAGGCGTTGGATAAAGTAGACATCAGATCGAGTAGACATCAGATCGAGTAGACATCAGATCGAGTAGACACATTAGATCCAGTAGACATCAGATCGAGTAGACATCAGATCCAGTAGACATCAGATCGAGTAGACATCAGATCGAGTAGACATCAGATCAAATAGACATCAGATCGAGTAGACATCAGATCGAGTAGACAGATCGAGTAGACATTAGATCGAGTAGACATCAGATCGAGTAGACATTAGATCGAGTAGACATCAGATCGAGTAGACATTAGATCGAGTAGACATCAGATCGAGTAGACATCAGATCGAGTAGACATCGGATCAAGTAGACATCAGATCGAGTAGACATCTAATCAAATAGACATTAGATCAAATAGACATTAGATCGAGTAGACATCAGATCGAGTAGACATTAGATCGAGTAGACATCAGATCGAGTAGACATCAGATCGAGTAGACATCAGATCGAGTAGACATCAGATCCAGTAGACATCAGATCAAGTAGACATCGGATCAAGTAGACATCAGATCGAGTAGACATCAGATCGAGTAGACATTATATCGAGTAGGCATCAGATCGAGTAGACATCAGATCGAGTAGACATCAGATCGAGTAGACATCAGATCCAGTAGACATCAGATCAAGTAGACATCAGATCGAGTAGACATCAGATCGAGTAGACATCAGATCGAGTAGACATCAGATCGAGTAGACATCAGATCGAGTAGACATTGGATCGAGTAGACATCAGATCAAGTAGACATCGAATCGAGTAGACATCAGATCAAGTAGACATCGGATCGAGTAGACATCAGATCGAGTAGACATTGGATCGAGTAGACATCAGATCGAGTAGACATCGGATCGAGTAGACATCAGATCGAGTAGACATCAGATCGAGTAGACATTAGATCTAGTAGACATTTGATCGAGTAGACATCAGATCGAGTAGACATCAGATCGAGTAGACATCAGATCCAGTAGATATCAGATCGAGTAGACATCAGATCGAGTAGGCATTGGATCGAGTAGATATCAGATCGAGTAGACATTGGGTCCAGTAGACATTAGATCGAGTAGACATCGGATCGAGTAGACATTGGATCGAGTAGACATCAGATCAAATAGACATTAGATCGAGTAGACATCGGATCGAATAGACATCAGATCGAGTAGACATTGGATCGAGTAGACATTGGATCGAGTAGACATCAGATCGAGTAGACATCGAGTAGACATCAGATCGAGTAGACATCAGATCGAGTAGACATCAGATCGAGTAGACATCAGATCCAGTAGACATCAGATCGAGTAGACATTAGATCTAGTAGACATTTGATCGAGTAGACATCAGATCGAGTAGACATCAGATCGAGTAGACATAGACATCAGATCGAGTAGACATCAGATCGAGTAGGCATTGGATCGAGTAGATATCAGATCGAGTAGACATTGGGTCCAGTAGACATTAGATCGAGTAGACATCGGATCGAGTAGACATTGGATCGAGTAGACATCAGATCGAGTAGATCGAGTAGACATTAGATCGAGTAGACATTGGATCGAGTAGACATCGGATCGAGTAGACATCAGATCGAGTAGACATTGGATCGAGTAGACATTGGATCGAGTAGACATTGGATCGAGTAGACATCGGATCAAGTAGACATCAGATCGAGTAGACATTGGATCGAGTAGACATTAGATCGAGTAGACATCAGATCGAGTAGACATCAGATCGAGTAGACATTAGATCGAGCAGACATTTGATCGAGTAGACATCAGATCGAGTAGACATCAGACCGAGTAGACATCGGATCGAGTAGACATTGGATCGAGTAGACATCAGATCGAGTTGATCGAGTAGACATTAGATCGAGTAGACATTAGATCGAGTAGACATCAGATCGAGTAGACATTAGATCGAGTAGACATTTGATCGAGTAGACATCAGATCGAGTAGACATTGGGTCAAGAAGACTTTAGATCGAGTAGACATCGGATCGAGTAGACATTGGATCGAGTAGACATCAGATCGAGTTGATCGAGTAGACATTAGATCGAGTAGACATTGGATCGAGTAGACATCGGAACGAGTAGACATTGGATCAAGTAGACATCAGATCGAGTAGACATTGGATCGAGTATACATCAGATCGAGTAGGCATCAGACCGAGTAGACATCGGATCGAGTAGACATTGGATCGAGTAGACATCAGATCGAGTTGATCGAGTAGACATTAGATCGAGTAGACATTGGATCGAGTAGACATCGGATCGAGTAGACATTAGATCGAGCAGACATTTGATCGAGTAGACATCAGATCGAGTAGACATTGGGTCAAGAAGACATTAGATCGAGTAGACATCGGATCGAGTAGACATTGGATCGAGTAGACATCGGATCGAGTAGACATCGGATCGAGTAGACATTGGATCAAGTAGACATCAGATCGAGTAGACATTGGATCGAGTAGACATCAGATCGAGTAGACATCAGACCGAGTAGACATCGGATCGAGTAGACATTGGATCGAGTAGACATCAGATCGAGTAGACATTGGATCGAGTAGACATCGGATCGAGTAGACATCAGATCGAGTAGACATCGGACTGAGTAGACATTGGATCGAGTAGACATCAGATCGAGTAGACATTGGATCCAATAGCTATCGGTTCAAGAAAGAATTGTCGGCAAATGCGTTGACCGTGGTCAGTGGATTCATGTTTTGAAATTGGGTCGGTGATTACTGCAAAAACTTCCAGGATGCCACCGTTTTTGACATTGTATTACACAAACCTATTGATTTGACAGGGTTTTTTTCTAAATGTAACTTGCACTCTCTCTTTAAAATTAGGGGCCTGTGAAATACGCTAAAGTTTGGTACAGTTTTCTAGAAGACCACTGACCCAAACACTACTAAATACCTTCATATATCTCTCTGTGGTAGGAGTAACGTACGTCAAGGTCTAAGGGGTGACATACACATGTTCTGTTGCTAAAAGCTGTTGTGGTGTCTTCGGACCTTGTTGTAGTCTCGCGGGAAGTTAATCTGTACATACCTTTACAGTTCACTTGTATAACACTTTTGTTAACGTTCTCTCTCTGTAATTGTCTATATCTTGTCTATCCCTTTACCATCCTTTTATTAGAGATATACCTGTTTCATGCTTAAATGACTGGCGGATAAGTAGCAATAATGAAATAAGAACGGTATTTCTAAGTGAATACAGTCACTTTATTATTAGATATTTATCAACTTATGGCACTGACACTAAATATGTCCGTTATGAAGAAATTGTTCGTTAATATTTCAAAACAACTGTCAACAAAAATTATGGGAACTTTGAATTCCAAAATGAGAAAAAAAAAAGATGAAAAGTCTGATAACGTAAGAAATGATAAATATATGCATTGATTCAGGTGAACTACGCTTCCGTGTGTGATCTAACTTTATTACAAAAGTATGGCTGTATATTAAATGCTTCAGTCAGATAAAAGAACACGTATATTATAATTCATTCCCGTGTGCTCGCGTCCCAAGAAGAAGAAGAAAGCGACGAGTCGGGAGTGTTTAAATATAATATGGTATGCTATATCCTGTTAATTTTTACACATCACCAAAAACAACCCCGAAACATAGTGTCTCTGACCCCTTATTTAACTTCAGAAAAAGAAAGTTTATAGAACGAAGGACGCAATGCATTTCATCTTTTTTTCTAGGCAAACTGACATACAGTGTACTTGATGCTGAACTATGAAAAATAACAAGACCTCACAAGTTACATCCCTCACCGCCTACCTACAATTAGTCTGGATATCAAATATGTGGATTGGGACATTATTTCTTATTTTGAGCCATCAAATGTCACTTGTACATGTAACTGCATTAAAACATGTGTTTCAAGTATTGTTTATGTCATATATGAGTTTTTGTTTTTTTATTTATTCATTTTTATTTTTTGTTTATTTATTTATTTACTAATGAACTCACCGGAATTTGTGAAATATCGCCCGTTGTATTGCTTTGTTTTTATTTGCGCAACGGGCAATTCGAGAGAAAATTCGTTTCTTGCAGCATTATGAAGTGTACGAGTTACCTCCCTTCGTATATTTACTATATTTTTGGGGTGTTTTTTTAAAGAGAGAGAATTGCTTTGACACACACAATATTAGATGTGATTTCATTTGATGCCTATACTAAGCAAACTATTGGATGGTTTCGGTGTCTGTAGTAGCCTACAGTAAAATGTAGTCAGTGGCGTAGCGAGGCCTTCATTCAATTGCATGCTTGGGGGTGCAGGGGCGGCAGCTGAAGGTATTTTGATTACAGCATTGTAATCATTCGAAATTATTAAAAAGACCAGCATATATAAAGATTATAAAGATTTTAATCTCACTTTTCACATTTGTCAAAAACAACTTTACGATACAAAAGATGAGATAAAGAAATATACAACACAATACCAATCTAAAACGTAGATTTAAGGGAAGATTGTACCATGAAACATCAAAAAGTTACGAAAAATTTTAAAGTGGTTATCTACCACAAAAAGACATCATTCTGATCCTCCGGTATTGGTTTAAACGAATTGCAACTTTCGAGACTTTGCTGCCGCGAAGTCATCAATGACAGTATCTATGTCAACCTGAGTGTCCCGATGGGTATGGAGGACAGCAAGAGCAGACAGCCGTTCTGTCGTCATTGTTGTCCGGAGGTAGGTCTTAATTCGTCTCATCGAGCTGAAAGATCGTTCGGCTGATGCAGTCGATGTCGGCATTGAGAGAAGTACACTAAAGATATTTCTAATGTTTGGGTATAGATCTCGACTTGTCCGATCCAGGATTTCGCAGAGACCTCTTGGTCGGTCCTTTAGTGGAATGGCTACCCATCTGGTTCTCCATCGCCGAACTTCCGTCAGGTAAGACGCCTTGTCGGACAGGTCTACTTCAAAGGCATCAAACACTGCGTTGACAATATCGTCAGTGAGTTGCTGAAGATTACGTGGGAAGAGCGTCTCTGCTTTGAATCTACCCTCGCTATCCAATAGCCGTGTCTCCAGCTCTGTGATCAAATGGTCAAGAAAAACCAAGAACAGACTAACTTTCCAATATTGCCTTGGGTCGGGTATCTGGTAGTTTGCACGTTGCTGCTGTCGTCCAGTTTGTCTCGGGACGCAAGGTTGAATACCGTATTCTGCGGCTACGCCGACAGCCTGGTCAAACAGCTCATTCCAAACATCATCATCCGCTCGTTCATTTCTGAGCATACTTATTACAGTCCTGCATTCAGTGGCGGCTTCCATAAGGTCGCAGTCTACTGACTGTAGATGGTTGGAAAGCGCAACAGTGCCGCTGAGGATGTGTTCAGTAACGACCAGCCCAATGATAAACTCGAACCTCAAAATTGCTGCCAATCTTCCACCCGCTTTGTCATCTCCGTCGTTCTTCAACGCCTCCAAACTACTAACGATGACACTGAATGAAGCCTTGAACGTGTGTAAGGCATCAGCACGACTAGACCATCTCGTTTCGCACAGTGTTCTCAGTTTGGTCCTAGACTCCATTTGATCTTTGGCGTTTTGGTCACCGAGGAGCTCATTTTTGAAGTACTGCAAGCGCTTTGCTGAATAATCGAAAGCAAAAGCGATATCCTGCACCGTTCCCATGATGGTCCGTACACAGGCTTGGGAAGAGGAATGAACAAGGGCAAGATTTAACTGGTGCGACTTGCAATGCACATAGGTGGCATGCGGAGCTGTTTGTCTTATAATTGCCTGTACACCGCGAAATTTTCCAGACATGTTCGATGCCCCATCATACCCCTGAGCCCTTAATTTTGCAATGTCCAGGCCAAAGTTCCGAAGAGCTTGTATGATTTCAGGAGCCAAGTCCTCCCCCTTAATGCTCTTAACATGTATGAAACACAAAAAGTCTTCTTTAACACATATTTCACCGTTTTCTGTCGTATCAAGGTAACGCACACAGACAGACAATTACTCTTTGGTAGATTTGTCTGTACATTCGTCTGCAAGAACGGCGATGTACGGTGACTCCTTAATTCGAAGTGTAATTGCTTTGGTGACATGAGACGCCAGTATTTCAATTAATTCGTTCTGGATATCTGGAGATGTGTACTTTAACTGCGCGTTAGGGTTGGAGATGTGATCTTGGACCACAAGATCATCTGCACACAGAACATTCGAAATTGCCCAAAAATTGCTCTTTTCTTCAGTGTGCCCCCTGATTGCAATGTTTTGCCGACCACACAGCAGCAACACCTCGATTATCTTTTTCAATATGTGTCTGTTTTTGTTGACATCTGCTTTGTGAGAAGAGTCGAGTTTTGATACAATTGAGTCATCCTTTCCAGTCATAATATCAATAAAATGATCCGCCGAAATCTGACAGCCATGGTGAGGTGAGTTCTCTGCTTCATGACGCTTGACGTAAGTGGAAAGGTTGATCCAGTCATCTACTGGAGATCTGAATGGCCTCTCCTTTCCAGACTTATCTCCAAATATGAAGCAGTGCACGCAATAAACTGAATCCTTGGAGACGGAATAGCGCATCCATGGATGTTCTTTCAACCAGGTGTAGTTGAATATTCTCTCGCGGCCATGTACTTTTCTGAAATAGAAAGACACTGGTATGTAAGTACATGTAAACACAAAAGTACCGAGCATAAGTCAAAAGGGACATTCCGAATACGACATCATCAATATGAAATCACATTCACTGAGAATTAGCTTATATTCTCATTAATACCTAGTATGTGATAAATAGAATCTTACACTAGTGACTATGTAGCATGCAATATGAAACTTATCAAACTAGTTGATTAACTCGATATGCTCACAAATCTTTATGCAAGTGGCATGTAGAATTATTGAGCGATTTTCATGTACAAATACATGATGTAACAACGTAAAATCATCTATTTGAAAAACGCTTTTAAAATTGCATATATAGTACGGAAGTAGCATGTATTATATCATGAACCATATATGTTTCATCAGACGGGTTCTATATACGTTAACTCACTTTTCTGCTGAATTTTAGTTTCAACTCGTACGTAAAGCCCTTTTCAAAATCCTTAAAGCCCTTTTCAAAATCCTTACAGCCCTTTTCAAAATCCATATAGTTTAGATATGTTTTTTCCTGAATTTAAAATCTAAATTCACCCTTTCTATTTATCTATTGAAATCATATTTTTAAAAAGCTACACAAAAAGAGCATTGATTTTTTTATCGATAAGCGTCCATAAGTATGAGGAAACTGTATTGTTACAATACATGTAGTTTAGACACATATTTTGTTGTACTTTATGATCCTTAATGAATGCAAAAGCTCATAAAATCATCGTTACCTTTTATTATGCATAGGGTAGTGGAAAAAGAGCTAACAATACCCTTGAATAACAGAAACAATATGTCTTAGGGTAATGGTAACGAAACTGTCAATGAACTGGGATTGCCGGTGACCAGACGGCTTAATCGCTTAAACTGACGGTCTAGTGTTCAGAAGATCCTGAGTTCAATGCTGCATATTTTTGTTCTCTTAATTCCAAGAAGTATTCTTATATGACCCAAATTGTTAATAAGACGAAAAAGAAACAAGTTGGCATATTTAACAAATGGCGAATGCTGTTAAATTGATTATTTGAAACAAAATGTAGAAAACAGCCGTATATTACATTTCAACCACAAACATACCGATATGAGGCACAGAACACTAATACAAACACGCATAAGATTATGTGTTTTTAGTGTAACGTGTGTATGCGCATTTTGCCTCCTATCTGTAATATCTCTAATATAGATGTTATAGTATAGACACTTGTAACACAATTCTATTAGTTGACGATTTATTTCTTTGTGATGATATTAGATATATCTAGGCCATTATTTACAGTAATTGTGAAATACTATAGGAATGGGGAAAGACCGGGCTCGAACCCGGAACCTTCTGAACTCTAAAACTCTCATTTGCGAATAACCAATACCTTTGTGGAAAGGGAAAACCGAGCCACTGATCCCAGGACTCTAACAAAACTTTCTTCTTTATTTGATCTGTTAACTGTTCGCAAGCTAGGTCAACACAACATGGTCCTTCTTTTAGTTCTTGCTGAAGTTTGACTGGGTCTGATTTGTCATCGGGAAGCGATTCGGCTATATTTGACGAAGACTCTTCAACATCAGACTTTGGAACCTTTTTGAAAAAATCTTCTATCTTTTTCGACATGATCTCGAAAATGTAAGCGCTTGTTAACTTGGTTACGGAAGTGTGTCTGGTATTATAAAAGTAAACTTGAAACCTGGAAAGTTTCCGGAATATATCGTCGCAACGGTATATAAAACAAATCGCGAGAAAAGAATCATGCACATTATGGAAATAGATTAATAAACAAGAAAAAGAAAACATGTTTTCTCGAATTTTATTCTTGCATGCTTGAGCATGCAAGCATGCACGGACGCTACGCCACTGGTAGTGAAATAACTTTCTAGCTAGATATCTACTCAATGTTAGTGTATTGAAATAGATTATCAAAGAACAGTTGTTACAAATGCATAAGCAGAACGATAACTCTGAGCGAACATACGTCATAGTCGGGATGGAGATAAGCGTTTGAGTGACACAGATGAGTTCCGGAACTGAAAGTGGAATTCCCAATAGTTAGATTGCTGTACGGAAAGGTAGGCAGCTATTACAGATTTTATTACTTGATAACAGAAACTTTATTATTTGCTTCGTGTAATGTCATGGGTTTAACAGACCTAAACCCAGACGATATGTATCTTTCACTAGCGTTAGTGTGTGGATCGGCGGAACATGCTTGTCCTAGCCCCTTCCTCATGTTCATCCCGGTCGAATGAAATCGTCTCTGAGTTGTACATGTACAGATACTTTTAGAGAGTGGACGAGGAGGAAAAGTATAAGATACAATTGAGGCTGAAATGTTAAGGTCGGTGGCCCCAGGTAGACTAGTTGCTTCACTTCTTATTCCGATTCGTGCACCATAGTTGTAACAGGAAGTAAATTAAATTGTTGGAAAATGGCTTTAATCTTTTATTTGACCAACTTCTAGCATTGGACTTTTTTAAGAAATCTGCCTTATACTTTCAGTATTGTCCTCAAGAGAAGTACCTTAGCAACAAGAAACTTAGAAATTATTGATGCTATTAACCGAATCAAGCTGACAACTACACTAACAAAAAATGTTGTTCCCAAGAAAATTTCTTCAAAATGTTAAGTAATGCAACTTTCAGCTTATAAGTACAGCTTTAAATTTTAAAAAAAAGTGCATTAACACACTAAAACTCAAGATATTACATTGGAATTTATTTTACATTGAATCCCTACTTTCAATCAAACATCAGACAGGTACATGCTTTACATTAGTAAGGTAGGCATGTAACCATAGACAACACTTGAGGGGCAATACATCAAATGTACATGATGTGGAATTTTGTTTCGGCTGTACAACATAAAATGTTTTTTTTTTTTTGTTTTTCTTTCATGTTTTAAGCATAGAACATGGTTTCAAAAGAAAAACCATTCATGGATATCACATAACTCCACCCATAATTCTTTTACCTGAAGTCTTGTTAATACACTGTTTCATTATATTTTCATGACTTGTCTTTAAACATGAAAACAGAAAAGTGTCTATACAACCAACACTTTTTTTATTACATGAACATGTTGTATTTATGATGGCATACATATGGACAGTGAACTAATGAGTATCTCATATATTTTTATGTATAGTTTCAGATTCCATCAAGTCTGATCATTTTTATTATATATTAATATGTCCTTATTTTACTCATTTTTTTCAGATGTCATGTTGAATACTTAGCTAGCCAACAAAGATTTGTAGAAATGGCTTACCAACAGTCCACCCAACCAGGTAATCCACTACGTATGTTACATAGGATGTATGCATCATGTTTTCTGGGATGTCTATGAATTATAACAAAACCTTTAGGATTGTGGCTGTGATTTTTCACACAACATTTTGTCTCTGTAATGATATAGTAACTAAACGGCAGTGGTTGTTCTGACTACATTGTATATTGAGCAAGTAGGTTTTGTGTGTATGTGTGTGTACTGTGTAGTTAACAGTGTACTAGATACACTTAATGTTTACATGTTTTACCTGCTTTCAACTTTGTTGATTCTCATGTATCATTTTTACAAAATTATAGAATCCCATTCCATACTTTCACTGTAAATATGAATATTTTCACTGTCTGGAACCAAGCCCAGTGAAATCATATATCCGCTTTTAAACCTTTGTATTGTGTACTTCTCAGGTAATCAGAGCCAATCTGAGTTTGTGGAAATTCACAAACCGCCTCCTGAATACAACCTAGAAGTGTTCCTCAACGAAGATGAACAGGAATGTAAGTCGATACGAGTAAAGAACTCAAACTTATACTTTCACTTGTATAAACATTTTTAATTTAACAAGTGAGTACATTGTTTTCACTGATTTGATTGTTAAATACTTATATCATTTCAATAGGATTTTTGAGTATTAAACACTGGTTAATGATCAAAATAACCAAGTATCCAGTTAACTGGTTCAGCATAGTAAATTTTCGTTTGAAATAATATTATTTGAGAGGATGCCAAATAGTAATAATCAAAGGTTATTATCTAGAATAATACATTATTCAGTGCTTTAATGATGAGTGGATATCATCAAAATTCATTATTGTGAAGTAGAGTTGAACAAAGATGAATAACTTACATTGTTATTTTTGTGTTTCAGTGTGGCATAACTTTTTTTCGCCATATACTGTTGTTGGAGACATGATAGTCAAGACATCCTCATTTGAACATGCCATCCAGCTGTTATGGATGAACGGCTTTGTGACTATCACTGGCCAGCCAGGTGATGGAAAAACCACGATGGCAGAGTGGATCATCACACAGTTGGTCATTGCTCCAGAACTGTTGCCAGAAAAGGGAGACGACTCCTCCAAGGAATGGTTTGTCAAAAGGAGTCTAGCTGGTCGAGGAGAGAGGACATATGAGTTTGTAAAAGTGAATTCTCCTGCTGACTGGGAGAACAAGGTAGACACAAGCAAGGATCAAGTTGTGCTCATCGATGACATATTTGGTCCAGCAAATATAAACATGTATACTGCTAGAAGATGGAAAAACACCCTTGTAGACATATCAAAAAAAGTGATGGACAACGTGCCCAAGCTACTTGTTATTATCTGTTTACATAAGAGCCACCAAGAAGCCTTGATAGGCGATTTGGATCATCTTGATCTGTTTAAAGAAGATGCGGTTGTAGATTTGACTCTTAGCAAATTCCAACCAAGCCAAGCCGAACGTGAGAGTATAATGGGGGCGAATGGAGGCTACCGAGGTCTGAGTTACAGAGAAAAGTACAATATTGACTTCAAGGCAGTTAAACAGTCCTATCCATATGTTGCGAGGATATTTGGCTCAGTGAAAAGTTTTGGTATGGAAGGGCCCAAGTTCTTCTCGAATCCTTTTTCATCCTTCAGAAATGCAATCCAGAAAATTTTTGGATTCAATAAAGTAATATACTTCACTTTGGCTGCAGGAGTCTTGTTTGATGGTAAGCTGGAACTAGACAAACACAGCTTCGAGGAATTCACAGAAAAAGAGCAACACATCATACGCCGATTAACAGAAGAAGTAGGCATAGAGGATTTGAATATGGCAAAAATGCGTTATGCAGCATCATTGTTGTATGGATTGTTCCTTCTTCCAACAAAGAGACATTGCTGGAAATTTATGCATGAGAGGTCATTCCACACTATGGCTGATGCCTTGACCAACAAGTACCCAGAGATAGTATTAGAGTTCTGCAGCAGTGATTTCCTCATCAACCGGATTAGGACCATTTCATGTTATTCTTCAAATGTCTCGTCCAGCATTTCACTTTGGCACAAAGAGTATCCTCAATTATGTCAGCGAATTACCTTTGAAATCCTGGCAGGAAATCTGCCCCAGCTGGCTGGCCACCCTTCATTTGATGATGAGAAATTTGTTAAAAAATGGTTTGAGTTTATGACAGATATGGGAAGCTTACTACCTGTAGTTCAACAAAGAGGAGAGTACAACCGCTCACTTTTCTTTTGGTCCTGTTTCTATGGACAACACAACATGGTGGTGACATACCTGAAACATGAGGACCTGGAGGACATGCGCCAAGAGGAGTGGTTTAAGGAGGAGATGCGTGCAGGTGTCTTTGCCACTTGCTGTGGTCAATATGGTATGCGTGAGGCACATGCCAAGGTATTGGAAGCACTTCATAATGCTGGGATGGAACTTACTGCAGATGATCCTCTTCCAGAGAATGATCTGAATGATTTGTATGGATCAGATGTGACTTTCCTCTTGAAGATCAAGGCCCCACTCTTGCATATTGCAGCATTAAGAAGTGAGGAAGCTGTCATAGATTTCTTGGTAGATGTGGGCAAGCTGGATGTCAATGAAAAGTCAGCAGATGGTTACACTCCTTGCCACAGAGCTGTATGTAACAAGAAAGAGGGCGCTCTCAAATCACTTCTTAAACATGAGGCTGACAGCAATGTCGCAGCACCAAATGGGCGTCGACCTGTTCACCTTGCACTGATGTGTGGTAATGGCAATGTCATTTATGCTTTGAAAATGAATAATGAAAAAGTGAAAGATGGAAAGATGCCAGATGGGACTTCAATGTTGACATCAGCAATCTTTACACAGGACGACTATCTTATTCGAAACGTTGCAGACATCTACAGCAAGGAGAAACCTTACAGACCCTCAGGTGACCTCATAGCTCCGTTGCAGGCAGCAGCAGCCATGGGAGACGAGGAGAACATAAAACGCCTGTTAGACAGGAACTTTGATATTGACTGTCGTGATGACATGGGATGGACTGCACTTCATTATGCTGTTTACTTTCACAACGAGAAAATGATCCGTTTCCTACTTGAAAAGAATGCAAACATTGACTGCCAAAATCGAGACAATAAAACTCCTCTTCACATAGCAGCCGAGCAAGGTTACTATGTAATTTGTGAATTGCTGCTGGATAATGGTGCCAATGCCGACAAGCATACCATTAAAAATGAATTTTCTTTCTCTTCTGCTGCTAAATATGGACATGTAGCCTTGGCCAGATATCTAGTTAGGCAAGGATTGATTCTTAGTACTCCTAACGGAGGGAAGGCAGGTGACCTCGAGGACCCACGAATGTATGAAGAATTTGAGAGATTAAGTAGAGAATGGCGATTCAAATAAATAAATCAGAATTTTACATGCTTTCAAATGGTTACTAGCAAATTACTTAGTTTCAAAATAGGCAAAAAAATACCATGAAAATTATGTAAATTTAGTGGAGTTACAACATTGTTGTGTTCATAACTTTACTAATACTTTGTTACCTAAAATTTCGAAAAATTCTTTGAATTTTCTAGCTTGTTGCCACCTCTCACACCCTAATATTGGCTTTTAGATATCTTATAGCCAGTTAAATTCGGTCCTATCTTTTTGTGTGTAACACAACTGCTCTAACAAAACCTGGATATATTCCTTACTGTAAGAAACATAATGCAGGTAAGTGACTTTCATATCTAAAGAACAATGTATCAATTCAAGTAGGAATTGAGGCAATGGTTAACATTTCTGATTTGGCCACAGGAAGTTAAGACATTGCATTGTATGTCAAAAACAGAGATTACACAATGGTTGTTTGTTGTATTTATTTCACTCCAGCTGTTATTTCTCAAAAAAGTAAAAAAAAATAATACCATAATCACAAGCTTCAGCAAGTGTCTTTGATTTTTAGGACAAAAACTAATGTCAGGGAAAGAAATACTGTATTTAACAACCACAAGGCTGTGTGACCTGTTTCTACCACAATAAAAAAGCTATTTTGAAGTTAATCGACCTGTCCTGTACCAACATGTTTTGTTTACATCATCACTTGGAGTGTTGTTGCTTGACCTTCAGTTAAAAGCAACTATCTAATATTCAAAACTGACAATTTCAGAAATAAGAGATATTACAACTCATTACAGATTATAAATAGAATTAGACTGATTTGTTATCTACGATGCCAAAATAGAAATATGTCCAAATAAAAATCAAATTATTACGAAAACAACAATGAACTACTTATTGTTGTTCCTAATTTCTGTGAGATCACAAAACGCCCTTTTTGTCATAGGTCATCCTGTCAGCCAATCAAAACATGTTGAAGTATTCCACCACATTTGGTATAATATTCATGTTTATACAACAGCTGGAATGATTTAAATGATGCCTTGCCAGTTGAATAACAACCACCTGTTGTGATAGAAACCAGTCATATCAATGCAAAAGTGTATCTTGGTCATGAAAAACTTTTTAGCATTATACTGGCCTTGTAATAGTACAACAAAAGATGAAAACTTCATTCATATTAATTACTAATATTAACTATCATTAATTAACTTTTCAGACACAATTGAACTGTGTTAGGATGTTAAATGTGATGGAGGTATCCATGAGATATGACGATCACTTTGACAACTGTATTGAATTTGTTATTATGTTGTACAGGCATTACAGAAGATTGAAACACAATTTTTATACATGATCCCATCCATACAAACTGTTGAGCAGTGTACGGAATGTCAATACATCTCTTGGCTGGGCAAAATGTTACAGGCAGTCCCTTCAGAATTTTCTACTTACCTTTACACAAAATGGGTAATAATTGAATATTGGACTGGAACTGCTTCGTGTTGTGCCTACTCCTGACGTCTGTACCATTATACAAGTACAGTAAAACTCCACAGGAACTCCAATGTCAAATGTCAGTACCTTAGTCAGAGACCTAAAGGCATTTCTAAATGTTTTTTTTTTTAATTGATGATTTTGATGGATGGGAGGTAATTCATAATTGACTGTTAATTCATGGATCCTGGCCTATCTGAATTAAACTAATATTTAAGTTTTACATCTGTTGTGTTTTTTACTAACTATGTGTGCAGAATTATTTGAAAACATGTGTCTTGGATGTGGGGCCATATCATCCAGCTGGATAACAATAATTGAGAAAGCAGATTGGGTAGTACATCAAACTCAAATGTTAACATGCATAAAGTTTACTTATGAAAATATACTTAATGAAATATAAATGTTATTCATGAAGAAAGAGGACAACTGTATAGGTGTTTAATTCCGCGGCTGTCCAAGTTTGGGCTAGTTTGAAAGAATACAATTTTGCTTATTTACAATGGTGTCCATGGATACAAACATATTACTAATTTCCATAAATTTTGATTAATGTTAAATGTTTGTTTGGTATTTTGTTTCATGCTCTCTTTGTTGAAAGCAAGATAAACTCCCTGTGAGTACAACCAACTATATATCATCCATTATAAAGGGTCTTTGGTGTCTATCAGCCGATGGTACACCTAAGTTTACACTACCATCCTCAATTATAGTTTATAACGTGGGTTTTTGTTCTATGTATGTGATGTAATTTATGTAACATTTTGTGTCTTGATAAAGGGGCAGATTGCCTCAAATTGACACTCCATTTGTTCATACCGTCATTTTAACTTCATTGATCATTTATTATAGATGTATATATAAAGCTAAATTCTCTGTAATAAACTTCAACAGGTTTTCTGTTACTTTTTGGAAATGAGTTAGGACCATGAAACTTAAACATTTCTTTCTATTTCAAATTTACCTTTGTTGTGTTGCAACTTATACATCAACTAATTCTGTAACATGATATTTAGATGTGAAGTTTGTTTATACTGATTGTCTGAACTATTCTATTAAGTTTTTCATTAATATCTCAGCCTAGTTGAGTTCATATATGAAAACAAAGTGCACAGCTTTTGAATTTCTTGGATGATCTGAAATAAGTAGTTTTTTTAATTGTTTTGAAGAGGAATAAAAATGCTTTACAATGAAATATGTACTACAGTCATTTTGTGTTTCAATGAAATTGTATTCACTATTTTTTATGAGTAATAAAATGTCAAAACTTATTTGATATTACTCTGCTTATTGAGGCCTCAAACAAAATTAGGTGGCCTTCAACTCTGTCATACCATCAGGAAATGCATTAGGAGGACTCTATCCTATTTTGATATTAATGATGCTGGTCATGTCTATAGCCTATTATTGGAATATCATGCTCTATCATAAACATCCTGTGAAGCATATCTTGTGGCCAGAATTACATCTCCATCATTCCCAGAGATGGAAGGCATGTGTAATGTACCAATAGGATCAAACAATATGGCAACTCCAGGTAATTACAAAAATATCAACTTTATTTCACTCTTTTCAATTTGATATTTGACACACATTACACAGATCACAGACTCCTATACAATACATTTCAGTATGCCATGTTGCATGATCTTGTATGTCTCTAGTAAAAATGTTAGAAGAGCAGTTGTTGGTTAATTACTGATAAATCTGACCCATAGTTGTCCTGTTAACCTGGACTAGAACCCAAAATATGGCTAAATTGTACGAATTCAAAACACTGCTTAATGCATCTTGATTCCTGAAAATGCGTTTCCACTAAACATAGGGAAATTCAGATTTGCGTATGGCCATATACCTACTTATATTACAAAACTTTTGAGTGGAAATCGAACGTGCAAGTTTATCATTAAACTTTTAAAGTTGTTTCTTGGCCAGTAACTTTTAACACAATACTTCCGTCAGAAAATTAATTGTATTAATACAATTTGTTTTCATAATGCCTTTTCAAATTTATTGCTAAAAATGGGTCCTGCAACGTAAATTTTAAGTATTTCCAGAAACTCTATAAGTCCCATCAAAATTTAATGAATACAGGACTCGCATTTAGATTTATCATTGTTAGTTTGTTGGTATATTTCATTTGATATAATCAATATGTTAGGCATAACCATCCTGAAACACTCTAACTTTCAAACACCTATCCCTTAATTTTGGCCAATCAACACAATATTATAAAGTATCACTGTGTTATCTGTCTGTATCCACTGCCATGACAATAACTGCATTAATCCATTGTTTATTTCAGAAACATACGATTACACCTTTTTAATTTACTTTTAATCAGGTATGAAATCTGTACAATTTCAAAATGGCAACATGAATGCTTTATCGTCAGAATTATAACAAAAAAACATTTGAACAGAACCATGCTTTATATATCATACAATAGACGTGATGGATTTAAACATTTTACACACGTTTTTCAAGCCATTAAATACTTCCCAAACTTTACCATTAAAAATGTATCACATGTATTAAACACTTTCCCTGTGTATTACCATTAACGTCACTAAAGAAGGTAAATAATACCTTATTACACCATAGAGAAGAAAAACAGCACAAACATATCAGAAAAGTCCCATTACTGAATTAATCTGAAAGATCATTAGGTTTGGGGGTCAAGCTAATGAACCAGAAGTCCCCGGTGTGAATCCTAGGCATTAAAATATTATAATGAACTCTGTTACATAGAATTAGTTCAAAACTAAGCCCTCCTCGTACTTTAATAGAAAGATTTTACACTCGTGGAGGGGCCTTATATGAGGATAAGTACAGGACTTTCATAACTTTATAGTAAACGTCAGTTTGGAGATCAATTGAAGTACTAAAACCTCTCATTATTCCACATATACCATTCCTTACATAATCCCTTAAAGATTTACAAAAACATGTTGAGGGAATGTTGACACACTCATTCTCACAATACCTACTGATATTAATACTTGTAATCAACTTTTCATTTTTTTTTTTTACACATTTCATGTAAAAAGTATTTCACAATTGGAAAATTGTTGCCAAATACACATGTGACAATAACAAGTCATTAATAAACATACTTCACATTCAAGTGTCTCTTCCAAATACTAAAACAGCAGAAAAGTGAAATATTTCAATTTCAAAAATTCACAGATATTCACACTTACATTGTATAATACACCAAATATGAGAAAGGACACCCACAGACCATGGATATCCTTTTGAGCAAGTATAACAAGACCATGTTGGCAAAACACTATGCCCTGTTTAAACTTAAACAGAAATGACAATTAGTGTAATGCCTAAGAAAGTTTTCAGTTATGTTACAATTGGACATGGTCATATGACATTCTTACAAAAAGATTATCAGAATTTGAAGTAAAGTTATCAAAATCCAACAAGAGCATTTTAGCCAACAGATATACAGTTGAGTATGTTATTAATCATTTTGAAATTAATAAACTCTACATTTTTAACATACATTGTAATTTGTCAGGTAAAAAGCCATCCTACCCACAACCTGTATACAATGGACCCTCCATAATCTGGACATCTTACTCCCTGGCCAATATTGTCTGGATTACAAGTTTTCCAAAATGTCAAGTTTTGTCTGCTGGCCAATAAAATCTGAGTTATCTCCCTTAAAAACCTGACGATAACATCTTTGGTATGATATCTATATAGTATTTAATGTGAAGGCAGATATTCATAAATGTCTTTCATAAGTAAGTTTCATTTCATGAATTATTGTATATACCGGTAGATTAAAATATCTTAAGTTAAATTGTTCTTACTCCTTGAAGTCCAATATCACAGCCAATTCATTTAATGACTTCTTGATATCAACAGTGATGACTTAAAAATATTTAATAACTCACGCCTCTGAATATTATATTACTGCAAACAGTACTGTATTTACATGTGTTTTGACTCAATTAGGATGCAAATTCCTTGAAGAATATGACAATTTTCTACATAAAATATGCTGAAATACTGAGGGACAATGGTCCATTTTTATTAGTCTAATTAAAGCCATACCCCATGATTTATATCAAGTGTTAATAACAATGTGCCTTTGTTTTATCTCCTGAACAATTCACTTAGATAATGTTATATCCTGTATTCCTGGTTACTATCATTATTCAAAATCATACAAAATACTTACAGAAAAACAACACTTCTCTCCATAAAGAACTTGACACATATAAACAAATTGAATAATTCTAGATTATTTGCCAAATGTTTAAAAACAAGAGCAGCTGAAGACCTTGATATTTTCCTTACAATGAATTCACTTTGTCCTCTGACAAGAGTTCCATAGGTATATTTATGCCTTGGGTGATGATATAGCAGTAGTCACAATGACTACATACAGTGTCTAGCGGTGTGCTGTAATACAGATGTCTAACCACAACATATTTTCTTCATGTGGTGACAAAAAAAGTCTGGGCTTTTGCAGGAGTATCACTACGAAAAGTCCATTCCATTCCCAAAATGTATTCCAGGAACCAGAATTCAAATTTCCAAACTGGTGAAAACAATTACTATTACAGAAATCCATTCACTAACATCTTCATTCAGACAGTGATTTTTTCTATCTGCATCCAGATTACAGCGGGTCCACTGAACTTCCACGCTTTATTACTGAAATTTCTGGATCCTCTCTGCATGATTATGATTTCATTCAATCATACAATTATCAACTAATTTCATTATAACATATACAATGTGAACCCAAACCTCAGTAGTCAATTCCCTGAAGTAGATAATATTGCATTGTCAGTAAAAGCTTTGGGTTCATGCAGTTACATGTATCAACTGTTACGTGAAACATTGTCTATACACCAGTCAAATGCATTTATGAACATTTTATACCAAGGTGTCAAATCCATGTCGGTTCTCATTTCAGTTGGCATCCACGGACACTGCCATGGTAGAAAGCAACGTTCAGGATGGGGCATGATGGCCAAATGGCGCCCATCCTCTGAACACAGAGCCCCTACACCATCCTCAGTACCGTTCGGGTTCATTGGGTACACTGTAGTTGGCTCTCCGGAATCATCAACATAGCGAACTGGGATCAGCTGCTTGCTCACAAGATCTTCATAGATTCTACGATCTTTGAATACCATTCGTCCTACAATAAGAGTTACATATCAACATCATTCCTTCCACAAAATTTTTTTTCATGAAATTTTGAAAAGAAAAGAAAAAAAAATTGAACAATACTTTTGATAGAGTTACCTTCTCCATGAGCACTCCACATGCCAAATGTAGTGCCCTCCATACCCTTAGTCATGATGGATGGACTGTCGTAGACCTTAACTGTGGAGAACCGACACTCAAACCTATTGGACAAGTTGTGATCCAGCAACACCCCCTGTCCAACACCACTGTTGCTGTTTTCTGTATGCCAAAAACAGTGTTATTTTTAATTCTTGAATAAAGATATCTCAATTATCTTTCTCCTTTTGATAGATACACCAAATAAAACTACAATGCACAACTAGCAGTTTATGTAAATAAGCAAGCAACCTAAATTTTTTGATAATTTTTGACGTCAAATGAGGCTTTAGTATTACAAATTCAATAGATATTCAGTCTAACTAATATGTAAGAAACTCATTTGCTATACCAATGAAAATATAGAACATTTTTATATCAAGTAATATCCAGTTATATCTTAATTTTCTTTACCTTTCTGGTCCTCGTCCGGGGCAACCCAGCCTAGCAGAGCCATTAGCTGGCAGCCATTACATACACCCAGACTGAAGGTGTCCTGTCTTTCTTTGAACTTAGCAAACTGTTTTTGTACAGACTTGTTGAACAAGGCTGTAGCTGCCCAGCCTATAACAGAAGTAGGAAATACATAAACATCAAGCTGTAGCTGTCCAGCCTATAATGCATGTAAGTTATAAGGTACTTAGACTTGTTTGCAATTGATAATGTATATTATTTCCATGATAACATCAATTTTATATTTATCAACAATAAAAAAACCTTTAGCAGATCCGCAAACATCAGCATAACTAAATCCCCCGACAAAAACAAGGCCCTGGAACTGGTCAAGGGTGATAGCCTCAGAACATAAATCCTGCATGTTGATGTCCCAAACTTCATGAAAGCCAGCCATTTTGAGAACAACTGCCATCTCACGGTCACTATTGCTGCCCTCCTCTCTCAGCACAGCCACTCTCAATGGGGTATTTACTACAAAGTACAACAAGACATAACGTCATTCTAACAACATGGCTGTTCATCATATATTACTTTGATGAAGACTATTCACGACTTTGTAAATTTACAATAATATTTTGCTACTAACAAACCCAAACTAATCAAAGTAGAATTAGTTTCAGATCTTCAAGTTGATCACTCTACATAAATTTATCAGATCAAATTAAAACAATTACAGCCACTTAAAATGTCAGAAATCTTACATGAAACTAATATCCAAGTTATATAACTGTAAATTGAAGAAAATTGAACGGAAAAATCTGTGGTGGTTTTGTCTTATGAATGGATATGTAGATTACAAAATATCTTATTTAGCTCATCAAACTCCTCAAACTATTATAAGTTAAAAGAGTGAATCTGTGATTGTTATTTGTCAATAGGAATTTTAAGGAAAATTAAATGTGGAAGACATGAAGGAGCAACACAATTCATTCAAAGCATGCAAATTAAAGATTTGTTACCTTGATTCATATGTTAGCATAACAGTGCAGTGTGATGCTAGGTTATACATACTTGTGTTGCTACCTTTTGGTGAGAATGACACTATATCACACTCAAATGGTACATGATACTGAGGACCTTCTCTCTCAGACAGCACTTTCTGTTCCTGGTCTACACACATGGTAGATGTTTGTCGACGCTCTAGCTGGAAACTTGTCTCCTCCCAGACATTACGCAGGAGAGGCATGTCATCCACCAATACTGGGCTACCATTGATACTCAGGCGGACCTACAGAACAGGAATTATATAACGTAGTACATCTACACTGGCAACCATTTATACTCAGACAGACCTATAGAACAGAAATTATATAACGTAGTACATCTATACTGGGCTACCATTGATACTCAGACAGACCTATAGAACAAGAATTATATAAAGTAGTACATCTACACTGGCAACCTTTTAAACTCAAATATTTCTTTAAAAAAAAAGGAATAGATTAAAGTGGTACATCTATAACAAACAAGGCTTGTGGAAAAACACATCTTGTGATTCATCATTACCTGGTAAAGTCATTTCTGCCATTTCAGGGCAAAACAATAACGGTGTCAAAGACTAAGGGAGTGCAAAGCAGTTTAAAAGTGAGAAAAGATATTGACCATAAGAGGATCCTATTCTGCTATTCGATGCTTTCCTCCTCCCGTCTACTCTCAACCAAAGAGGGGGAGGAGGCACATGTGAACAGAAAACCATCAAATAATGTATGTGTTATGAGTTTTCCCCCCGGTTAGTTACCACCAACTCCTCAGAGCAGAAAAACTTGCAGTGATAATATGACCATATACCTTAATTAGAACTCCCAGGTAATTTTATCATTGTTTTAAGACAACCCAAGTACACATCTTGACAAACACAATGAGCCAATGTCAAGAGAAATACTGACTTTCTTTGTGTTGGTATTTATTTAATGTTTTAGATTGTTGTCATTTTGTTTTTATTATCACTTTTTTGTGTTTTTGTTATTTTGGGGTTTTTTTATGATTCAATTAAATTTATCAGCAAAACAATTGATGGTTACATCTGTCTGGGTGTTAGAGTATTTTTTTTTCCCAAGTCACACATGAAATATGAACAAAAACTTCAAATATCAAGTCTAACTGTATTTACTTTTGGTGTCTCCTTTTTTCTGCTAACTGAATGACCAATCAAATAGCAGGGTACGTTGCAAGCTGAATACTCTTCCAGAATTTCATGTTGATATTTCTCCTGTACTTCTAAAACCAGGCCAAGTTCCTCCGCAAACAGAACATCTATATCTGATACTCCTACAAAATATCAAATTTGTATCACACTACATTTGTATATATGTTATATAGAATTATACATTTGTAATACACTACAGTTATATGTTAGACAGAAGTACACTACATCTGTAATACACTACAGTTATATGTTAGACAGAAGTACACTACATTTGTAATACACTACAGTTATATGTTAGACAGAAGTACACTACATCTGTAATACACTACAGTTATATGTTAGACAGAAGTACACTACATCTGTAATACACTACAGTTATATGTTAGACAGAAGTACACTACATTTGTAATACACTACAGTTATATGTTAGACAGAAGTACACTACATTTGTAATACACTGCAGTTATATTTTAGACAGAAGTACACTACATTTGTAATACACCACAGTTATATGTTGGACAGAAGTACACTACATTTGTAATACACTACAGTTATATGTTAGACAGGAGTACACTACAATTGTAATACACTACAGTTATATGTTAGACAGAAGTACACTACATTTGTAATACACTACAATTATATGTTAGACAGAAGTACACTACCTTTGTAATACACCACAGTTATATGTTAGACAGAAGTACACTACATTTGTAATACACCACAGTTATATGTTAGACAGAAGTACACTACATTTGTAATACACTACAGTTATATGTTAGACAGAAGTACACTACATTTGTAATACACCACAGTTATATGTTAGACAGAAGTACACTACATTTGTAATACACCACAGTTATATGTTAGACAGAAGTACACTACATCTGTAATACACTAGTTATATGTTAGACAGAAGTACACTACATCTGTAATACACTACAATCTTATAAGACAATGTTTGTATTACAATATCGAAGGAATAAGAGGCCTGATTTCATGGTATGAAGACAATACCTGATTCCCAATGGTTATCACAGTATGTGTTCAAGCCTTGTCTTTTGTTTTTTGTTTTTTTTGAGTTGTTCAATAATTTTTTGATAAGGAGTGAGGCTAGCACAGGTGGTAGCATTCTCCATCATCTACCTAAATCAGATACTGGTATATCACAATCCAGACCACAGTTGCCAGCAAATGCCATTTCTAGGATACAGGTGACCAGTCCACCATCACTGACATCATGTCCACTGATAATTTTTCGATCTGAAAATTCCATGACAAAACAGATTTAATTAGAGAGAAATATTTCCCATCCTCCAAATAAAAGTTGAAATAATTTGGAGACAATTTTTCACATAACAAAGTACTGCAAGCAATCTATATTACCCCTAATCTTCAAACAAGCTTTGGGATCGTGAACAATATATGTAAATGTGACCAGATGTCAGCATGCAACACACTGCCATCCTAATTAATACCAGTTACTTGGGTACAAAATATGGTAGATGAACTGTAAAACCATATTTTTCATGGGGCTCAAATTTTGTGGTCTTCTATAACTTACATTTTCATTGGTACTTGAATTATGGATAAATCTTGCTCACAAAATCCAATGTTTCTAAAACCCATGTTAACTTTTGTGTGTTTAGATATTTTTGATGACTTATAAATTTGTGGATTTAGGGTGTACACAAAAATTGATGATTTTACAGTAATGGACTTGGTAAAAGAGATATGTTGGGACAAAGCCACTCAGAGGCGTTGAATGATGGACGGACTGAAAGTACTAATAGTAGGATATCGATCATTTTATGGATTGTAATGGATCACTCAATGGTATTTATTGAAACTCAATGATTTTCTTTAAATTTCAAATCATAGTATGGTGAACTGTAACTGGATTCCTCCAAAAGTACATACCTTTAATTAGTTTTTGTGTTACATCAAACGCCTGACACAGGACTTGTGGCTGTTCCAAATCGGGTGTCAACTCTCCAATCTGCTGGTAACATTGAGCAAGGGCTGACCCTCCCAGTCGATGTTTTCCTCCACTGATGTCCACAAACAACAGGGTACCTACACAAAAAAGAAGAGTCGGTGCAACATGAATGACCACACCAACAACCAAGGGGAGGAGTCATATGGAACTTTTTAGTGTCACCTGTATTAAAAACTTCAAACTGCCCATCTCATACATCTAAGGAAATAATGTCCTAATAGAACAACATCATATTTATCATATCAGGCAAAACAGCAAAATTTAAGACCAAGGGGAACTTGAAAATGTATAAAGTCAAAGTGACCAGAAGTGTCAGAGATAAGAGCCCAGACAAAGTTTTCCTTTGATGTAGGTCAACTGTCAAAATGTAGGTCAGAGTAACCTATTTTTGATTCTTTACACACTTGGTCATCAAGATGAACCCATACCCTGAGTATCATGTTCCAGTGACAAGAAGTGTACGAGATAGAGCCTAGACAACATAACTTTTACTTTGATGTCGGTCAAAGTTCAAAATGTAGGTCAGAGTGATCTACTTTACATCAGATACATGACACATAGCCTCATCTATGTGAACTCATACTGCAAGCATGAAGTTCCATTGACAATAAGTAGTGTGGGAGATTGAGCACAGATGAGAGAGCAAATGGACAAAAGCCACAAAGCAAAACTGTAATACAAACAAGAAATCAAAAGTTTTAACTTAAATTCTACCAACCTTCGCCTTGCGGACATTTGAGATCTGGTGTGACTGTGGCTGTGATATCTGGACATCCACAATACATAGAAATAACCAGTGTACCTAAAACAATTATAATGTATTTTTCAATTGGTACATTGATAGGGATGTTGACAGTAAAACAATTGACTCATTCTTGGAACTATATGATTAGACCTGTAGCTAAACAAGTAAGTACTTTTAAAATTACTTTATTGGGAAAAAAATGTGATACTATTCCAGACTTTATAATGTATCATAAGTAATATACAAAGGCTAGCTACTGATTTTTACATTGTGACATACCCGGAGCCTTCACAGTTTCACCCTCGACACGGGCAGCCATACTCAGCGAGTCCTTTCCCCCATCGACTGCTACACCAAGTCCACTCATTACATCACACATAGCACAGCAAGCATCAAAAAGAGCTGCTCCTTCCCCAGGAAGTTTGGCTGGCCACATCCAGTTACCACTGACTTTGATATCCTATTAAAGTACCATACTGACATATAGGTAGAGTTTGTTACTGTTTATTGTTTCATTGAATCTCTACTTGACAAGCAGGATCGTTTTAATTGTTAATTAAATCCAATACATCAATGCTTTCTTTGATTTTTATACCAGCCAGTCATTCTAGCAGATCAACTTTGGTTATATTTTACAACAATCAAACGTATCAAGAAAGTAAAATACAACAGGTCAATTTAGACTTCTGTTAGTCAAGTCTGGCCTCCTGCAGCCTCTGATGGAAACCCTTGTCTCTGTATGTAATCTTTGTTTGTTTTGATGAAGTTTTCTTGCAACAAATATAGAGTCAAACCTGTCAATAAAGGCCACCTAGGAGAGAAAAGTGGCCTTCACAGATAAGTGGCCTCTATCAAAGGTTCACTTACCATGAACTGTATTAAATTAGGAGCCAAAATGAGGCCTTTATAGGCAGGTGGCCTTTACAGACAGGTAGCTTTTTAAGTCATTTGGTGTATCTACTGTATGCGTAATAATAACATGTACAAGTCAAGAGAGGGATATAGTCTATCAATTATACCTTTCTATGAGTTACCAAGGCAAACACTAGATTTGTCATGGCCTCTCCCACAGACATGCGTGCCCCAGCAGCCGGACTGACCAGCCCTTTCACTGGCTGTTCTCCTATGGCTGTGGCTGACCCATATAAGTCCTACAATGAAATAAAGCATAGATGCAACAGGTGTCAAAATATACCCTTACATAGTTAGTTACTCTTTCTATCTAATTTAAGAACAACAAAAATCCCTCCAGATGCTTTGAGTTTTGATTTGTATCTGTTCTGAAATTGATATTCATCCTAGGTAAATCAAGAATTCCACAGAAGTGGATGTGTTGCCTGCCCAGCAAGGTTTCTAGAGATGAGTCTATGTAACAACAGCCACAGACATTCTTTGTATATCTTTGAAGAAACCTTTGTGCAGACAACGACGAATCCATTGATGATTTTCTATACATAGCAAGGGTGACCTTGGCCTTGACCTCAGGTTTCTGAACAGAAGCTAAGTGCTTACATTGTGAGTGATTGCAGTCACTGCTACATCAGCTAAAGGTGTATGAAGTGGACCCACACACTGCTGCTGGGCTACAAGACCAGTCACACATCGGTCCACCTGAATAAACACATACTTAATATTACACATTGGTTCACCTTATAAAACACATACCTAAATATGACACATTGGTCAACCTTTAACACTGACCATAAAAGCTTGTCCAGGACTGATGTTTTCTTTAAGTATTAAGTGACCTCTTTGTTACCATAACATCACAAGAGCTGTTTAAGAACTGCGCTGCTCACCTATTGATGATTTAAGGCAAATATAAATCAACCCATTTTTGGCCCCATAGATATGGAAAACATGGCGCAGTATCAATGCTTAATCTATTTTGATTAATTGCCCATTGATATTTATGATCCAGTACTGCTTGATAAAACTGACTAAAAGTTTTTAAACACTTTAAGGTGGGACGCTGCCAAAACCAATGTCAGAGTGACAACATTACCTCCTTTGTTCTTCTAATAGACAAGCTAAAACTATTAAAGTCCAGACTTACCCTTAAAACTTAAAATGGTTGTGACCAGCGAGTCAAAAATGAAAATTTATCTCATTAATACTTACTACTTAAGTCCAGTTTCGGGTCAATGGTCAATTAAGTTAGCTGATTACCTTATTAGTAAGATACCTCTTGCTGGCTACTGATGGCAGGCGTAGAACCCTCATTAGGGCATCCTTTACCTGTAGCCCCTCAGGTAGAACCAGGGGTTTCAGTGGCATTTCCTTGTGGTCAAGGGTAAACTCCTACAACATCAGAACAATATATAAACTTACATTTTGTCAGCAAGTCTATTTCACATATGATTGTTTGGACTTCAATTTTACAGTGTTATAATGATCATAGCAAACAGTCAAAAATCAAAATCAAGAATTGCCAAAAATGGTGGTCTTTATGTTCAACTGAATACAAAAAACATACAGAGTATTGCTAAAGCAATACAGGTCCCCAGCAGGGCCCAACAATCTATAACATTGTAATAATTTATTGAGATGTTTAGTGTTAATTTGGAATAAAAGGAAAGGATACAGTTAGTTTGTCATTGATTGTAATGGAACAATGCAATGAATAAGTATGACAATCTGACAATATAGTTTAATTATAAATGTGTAATAATGTGTCATTTATTCGTAAGTGTGTGAAGTTTGATCAAAATTTTGTAAGGAATGAAGCCACTAGAGTGTTAGTAACAATATTCTAAAAATAGTAATGGAATGCTGACCTTGACCTTGACCAAATGACCCTGAAATTTGAACTTGTTAAAAGATATTTTAATACTTTAACTCTTTCTGTACTCAACTCAAATTCTGTGGTTGCTACCAGAAGTGACCTCTCGGTTGTTCACTGCACATGACACTTATCCAAGTACATAGCTGGAGTGCTCGTTTTGATACAATTTACAACTGAGAAGTGCTTAATTTTGTTGAATATCTGCTTAGAAATACAGTGTAATTGTTCAGTAAATTCACAAGATGTACAACAGTTCATGTGTTTACTGTGTCACTCATGTGTACTGTACCACTCCATTGTAAACTCAGTTTTTTGTTACATGCACAAGTTACACATATTCTAGTTTTATTTTCACAATAAACTGTACTCATTTATATATTTATCATATTTATATGATTTTCAAAAGTTGTAACAGCGATCTTGATCAAACAACTAGGGAAAGTCAAACTTGTTCAAAGAATATTGATTCCTTACATGGATATGAAATTCTGATGAGAATTCCTCAAGGAAAAAAGGTTCTAGTAAGCTGAAAACTTATGACCAGTGGATAGCACGATACCATAAAAATTATGTGCTGTCATGTGTACTATTTAAATGGTTTAATCATGCATTTTTGGTTTGGGTTTTTTTGTTTTTGCAATTATTATTGATAAATTATTGCAGGATAAAAGAGTGCATGGTAAATATGGTACAATATATGATTTATTGTTGTTTCGGCACAGAACAAGGGGATTTTCAGATGATTTGCCAACGTTTTTTTTATCTTTGTCTAACCCTCAGCAACAAAAAAACCTTGTATAAGTATTAAATAATGCCAACAATGCATTCTTCAAGTATAAAGTGAATGATTGAAGTTATACACCAAATTTCATTCTTACAGTATTGTTGAATTGTTGTGGAGTGAAATTTCTCTATATTCATTACCATGTGGTTCAAATTTCTAAATGATCAGTTATGTCTTGATCTTACAAAAGCATTTTCTTCATTATATTGTAAATCATTTCTAATCTACCCTGCTATAATACAAATACTCCTGGTTAACATACATATCCCTACCTTTCTTGGCATGGAGCCAAGCACATGTTCAAGGTGGAGATCAACAGGATATTTATGAAGCTTCCTTCTTTTTTTAGCAGGGCTTCCATCTCCTTCAGAGTAGTCAAATCCTTCAAACCTAATCTGTGAAAAATATTCACACCATTAATTTTGGTATGTCGTTAGCAACAAATATATATTTATATAAGTTAATTAACAGAAAAGCATCAGTTTTAATATTTTGTACAGTGGACTAGGTTACAACACTGATGCTGACTATGGTTCAATCCATTCAGGTGTAATCTACATAGAATTCATACCAGCCAGTGAAACTGTAAACTCAAGCACACAGATTATTCAATCCCAATACCTGGTTGTCTCAATCTTTATATTAAAGTTTGGACATGTCTGATAAAATATATTAATTGAAACTTTTAAAACAATTGAATTTCTCTGAAGAAGCATTCATATGGGAAATATTTTGTAAATTCAATTCTGTCAAATTTGGTCAAATAATCATAATTTTGAAGTCAAGTTTCATCAGGCATTAAATTTCAAGAAATGAACCTTGAGTGATTTAAGTAACCTACTTTTCCATCCCCAGTGATCTTGCCCACTACGTCAACAGGACATCTTTCTCTATTACCAATGGTTTCTAGGACATCACGGTCAGACTTGTGGAGGAGAATAGCATTACTTTCCTGGTACTCTGCCCCCCATAACTCCATGTTGGTGAGAGTGGGGTCTCCTAAAGTAAACTCTGATGCTCTGATCAGAGCCCCAGCCGGCTCTGCTATCTCCTTCAGCACATTACCTGAGAAAGCGACAAATTCACAGAAATGTTATACCAGGTTTGATTCCTGCCGAAGTTTATTTCTTAAAAACCACAAGTAATGCCTATTTCGTGACACAGGTTTCTTGTCTTCAGAGCTCTACATTAGCACTTCTCCATACCAGTACAAAACTCTGTTGAAAAAGTACATCATGACATGAACCAGTCCAATCAGACAAGTGATTTTAACTGTAACAAGTTGTTATAAATGTTTTAAAAATATTAAATAAATAAACTACATCATTCAAATTCTCCTGTCACAATTGATGTACTCATGTTTTTTCTATTCATGTCCTATGAGGCCACAATGAAGATTAAGTTAACAATTAACAAGATACCGGATGTTTTTTACTGCTGGAAAGTAGAAGTGTTCTGAATGTAATCTGCATCTTAGCTATGTTTGTTTTCAGGAGCAGTTACTCAGTCAAAGTGTTTTAGTGACATTGAATAATATTGACTGCTAGATTGTTTATGTTTGAGGTTGTCAGATGATGGATTCAACAAATTTTGGTTTAAGTCTGAAAGGAAAAAAGTAAAAAAAAAATAAAAAAAACTCGTAATGTTGATGATCAGAGCAAAGAAGCTAGAAAGGAGCATGAGCTAAAGAGATTCAGGACATTTAAAATCGCGCTGATTATTTATTGTAAATGAAATCTGATTCTAGCTTGAAAGTTTGGACAACTGCATTTAACAGTCGTACAAATGGTTTTTAAAATATACTTGTAAAATATTAATGTTGAGCCCAGGTCTTGATGATGTAAGGTTAAATATTAAATTGATTTTGTCCAGAACAGGGTTATTGCCATGCCCATTTCTTTACACAAGGCTAGTGTTGTGTTCTGTTGCTTTCCAATGTTAATGTAATGTCCATTTCTAGATTGTTATCATGTCCATATCTTCATATAAATATTCTACATCTATTTCATGACATTATTTAATTGTCCTGTTAATTGTCATCCTCACATCCATTTCTTGAGATGTAGGGTTACTGTCATAGAGATAAAGTTAGTGTTATTTCTGGACATATGGTTATTGCCATGACTTTAAGAGATGCTAAAAAATATCGTTTTCAGCATATGGAACACAGAAATGATGGTCATCGGTTGCATCAGACAGGTAGTTGCTGAATTCAGGTTAATTGTGTAGTAAATTACATTGGGAGCAAAACTACAGTCACATATGACAGGAAGTCACTTAATTCAGGTGATAGCTAAGACATATTTTTACTGTATATGATAGTTTGTGATGATTGATACATACCATTGCCTCCTGCCCCCTGGTCATGTATACTAGCTATAGGATTCTTGTCCCCCATCTCCAGACAAGCACGAATCAGACGATTGAGTTTCTGCTCCATTTCAGGGTCTCCTCTTTGCACAGCTCCGAAATCGAGCTCTGCCTTGTTATCTCCCTGTACGAGGACAGAGGATGCAGCTCCCCCGCCTACTCCAATACGGTACACTGGGCCCCCTATCTTAGCTACTCTCATACCTACAAATATCAGCATACCACTATTTAGCTGCTGCAAGCTTGGTCAAATCTTTAAAGGATGACAGTGCTACCCACATGTACATGAAAGTAAAACCAGATCAAGAGACTTTGAGCAAATCAGGTATTTGATTTTCGTTGACTTAATGCCACCTGCATTTACAAATTTTAGTAATTAAGTTGACCAATGAGCTTCACTGCTTACTTGGTACTTAATGTTTTTTCTAAATATATTAACTTTATTATCACTGACATGCACAACAGGTTTCTATCAATTCTATTTAAACAAACATGCTAACACTTAACATTAAAATCATATGTTGACAAATGATGACTTCTATGACCTTGAATATAGATTAAGGTCATTATCTTTAGCAAGATTTGTTAGGCATTATCCCAAGGCTTCATCCCAGGAAGCTACAAATTTATACATGCAGTTGTTTAATTTTAAGCTAATCTTCCACAATTGTTCCAGGTTTGGCAATTTCACTGGTGTTTAATTTCACACGTCTATGAACTGGTGTCAATATATACAGGAATAACAGATATTTTCTGAAATTTTTTCGAATTATTTGCAGGTTGCTTAATTTTGTGTTATCTTTATTGACCATGATTTCAATCCTTTGATAATGTAATCAATCATAGTCAAATACTGCAATTTATGACTTGTTTATAAAGAAAATGAATAAGAAAACAATGAAGTTACAAAATAAATCTATAGAGTTCTATTGATATACAATATTGAGAAAGTTTACATTTAAAAGCATCAAAGGACTTCATTTTCATCAGCTTTTTCACTTTCATTTACAATGTCAATAAGAAATTGGCCTTTGGATCTCTGCAGCTGGCGATACGATACCATATTTTATGAACACCAAGGAACAGTCTAAAGATAACATTTAAACAAAATACATTGTACATAATCATCTGTGCCACAGAGGCAATTAATGATCTGTTGTGCTACTGCGGAGGTCCTGTAAAAGTTAACTTTGCTTTTAACCAATTTCCATTTACATAGTCACATGTACTGAATATATTTTAAATACAAAAATTACCTACCTTCTTCCGGTAACTTTTTAGTGATGCAGTTAGCATCTAATTGTCCAATACCGCCACTAAACATGATAGGTTTAACATATTCTCTCCTCTCACCGTCTGGTGTGGTCAGACCAAACGACCGAGCAAACCCTGTGAGAACAGGCTCTCCAAATTTGTTGCCGTAGTCTGAAGCTCCATTACTGCCCTCCACAGCGATTTCAACTGGACGAGCGAAGTTACTAGGGTAGATATAAGTCTTATCCTCCCATGGCAGGTCATAACCTGCAACAGATATGATACTGATCCAGCACAGGCCTAATTCAATCGGATCCCACAATCAACGATATTTCCAATAAAGCAACATCATAGCCAATTCCCTTAATTTTGATTTTTTGGTGTCACAAAAATTTCAAACTTTGGGGTCTGAATAGAATGGTTTTATTTTCCTTTGTCTAAATTCTGATGTCTTGAAAGGAAACAGATAACTTTAGCCACAGACAAAAGAATATTGTTGATGAGGTTTTTCTAAAGGGTTTGGTTCTCTTATAGCATTATTATGAATCGCAACATACAACATTGTAACAAAAGTCTTGAAGAGCTTTTCATATAGTAGTGTTTTTAGCCTAAGTGGCAGAGCCAATGCAGATATGCATGTTATCACATACTTACCTGGTATGTGAAGGTTGCCAAAGCTATAACCTGCGGTGCCTGCCACAACGTGAGCCCCTCGACCCGCAGCCTGAACATCCCTGATTCTCCCCCCTGTACCTGTAGTGGCCCCTGGGAAGGGAGCCACACCTACAAAAGTAAAACATTACCTTAACATCAGTTAACAAATTGCTTTAGGTGCAATTTGTTTCATCTTTCCTCCAAACTACCACTTAAAGTCTGCATCGATCATCTTCAGTCAAAAATATTCACACAAAGGTGAGGACAATCCAGGGGAAAAGGTGTTTCAAATGAACAGGCAGAATTTCTCTCAAAATGCAGTACACGTTTGACATCTGTACCAAGATACCTTTAACTAATTGACAGGAACTTTTCTGCATTTTTATCAATATTCAGCACAATATGGTGAACATGTTTAGTTCCATACCTGTTGGAAAGTTGTGAGTCTCTGCAGTGAAGATAATATGTCGTTTTTTCTCTTTTGAGTGTACCATGGGACTCGGCTTGGTTGGGTCACTGGGCTGTAATACCTCCACATCAAACCCCTTGATACCACTGTCAGGAAAATTTACTGGTTTTCAATGAAGACCATGATCATGACCTATTCAGTTACAGCTTTGAACTTTTCAATATATAATGTATAGAAAACGAAAGTTGAAATGACCAGTTTAAATTTACTGAAAAGTTATCACCATGTGACATTAAGTCACCCTTTTAATGTATCTAAAATCACCAATTCTTCTAGAAAGATTTGCTCAGAGTTTTTTTTTTCCTAAATTTAAGTATTATACATCTTTATTAACAGATGAGCATATCACTTGTAAAGACTCACTATGTAAAAAGGGGATCTAACAGGAGTTGTCACACTATGATGAATTTTTTGTGTTCAGTAATTTGGTATGTCTACACTTGTGTTGCATAGTCTCTAGATGAAGCCTACCGACAACAATGTATGTATTTATCAATACTTTGACAAGACAATTAGTCACAAGAGTCTCGTTATTATCAAAATCAGTTGTAGATGCTTGATGTTTCCTTACGTCACTAAATTTTATGTAAGCATTGTTTAAATACAAAGAGACATGTAAGACACCTAAATGCCATGTGATATGATATATACCGTATTTATTCCAATAAATGCCCCAGGGGGTGATTAATAGAACACAAAATTTCATAATTTGTTGGTCGTGACATGCCATGGCTGCCACTTAAAAACATTGTTTAACAACCTAACGAATTACTCAACAAAGAATGCATTTGAAAATTGCAGTAATTCCAACATCGTTGTAGCTTTAAACATTGTTGTCAATTGCATTCTGATAACCTGAATTCTTGTATGAAATGACACGATGTCAATCGTGTCAGCTTCATTCAAAAATGTACAATGTTCATCATCGCTTGTAGGCCTAGTTTGCATAACAAAATAAAAAAACACAGCGGTATATATGCCAGTCTGTTTCTTAATAAATCCCACATACCTGATAACAATGTCTGGGACAAAACGAAATTATGACACTGCTTTCAAGCTTAAAGTAATCGCCTTCGCAGAGGAGAAGGGTAAACATGCCGCCGCGAAAGGGTTTTGTGTTGACAGAAAATGAGTGCGGGACTGGTGTCAAAACAAAGAAAAATTTTTAAATCTTTCTAAAAACATCTAAACGCTGTAAAGGAGGTGGGAGGCATGTCAGATATGAAGATATTGACAAAAATCTTATGAGATGGCTACAGGACAGACAGGAGGCCGGAATACGAGTGACTGGGAAAGCATTGCGGTTTGAGGCCCTGCGTATGCATAAGGCAAATGGTAGTCAATCGTTCAAAGCCTCATATGGATGGTTTTCTAAATTCAAAAAGAGACATAACATTTCGTTCAGGCGATCTACACATGTGGCACAACATGAAGTTTCATTCATTGATGATCGTATTGACAGTTTTTTTAATTTCGTGTTAAGAATGCGTCAGCTACGAGACAGTAGTTCGTACGGCAGTCCCGGCCGTTAGGAATGCAGTATATTGAAATGAACCGTGGATTAAATTGATATCACTTGTGTACATGTCGTGACAGTGTAATTTTCTTGTGCCAAAATTCATTTGTTCATGTTCATGGATACCAGGAATTCAAAATTTATTAAAAGGTAAGCTTTGTAACCTGACTCCTGAGTTGTTGAAATTTACTGAGAAAACAGGTGGGGGGCGTTTATTAGAGACGGGGCGTTTATTGGAAAAAATACGGTATTGTTGTTAATAGTTAATATAAACATTGATTTAATCATTTGATCTTGGAAATTATATACACATAGTGTCATCAATGATGCCTAAGTGGCATCACCTACTACATCCAGTTTAATTTGGCATTTCAATCATACAGGAGATAATCTAATGAGATATTCTATGAAAATCTGTTGTTATGAAGTGTAAATATTAGGACTATTATTTATTTTCTGTACATGCATGTAAGGGTATTTACATTTGGGTAACCACATATTTTACTTGGTGTGCATTATCAAGCATTATATAGTTATCTCGAAAGAAATACACTTTGATGCACAAAACAATCCATGACACAAGCCTTCAGGCAAGCTTAATCAATTCAATATGATATTGACAAGGATGTAGGATTCTATTTACCATAAAACTCAATACAGTGGGATACCTTTTTACTGACTATAAAATCTTGTAACATCATTTAGTTATACATGTTTTTACATGTGTCTCCCGATGTGTATGACATGTCAGAACAGGACAAGCCTTATAATCCAACCTTGTACAGTACCTGCTGTTATCAGAAAACTTGATGACATTGTTATCATTAGATGTTTTTTGTGTCCCCTTAATCATGTCAAATAACGATTCCTGGTGCTCTTTTCCATCCACCTTCATCCTCCCTCGAAAAAACCAGTGACGACTGTGTTCACTGCAAAATAAAGTCACATATCAATTGTCAACAAAAATCTACAGTCTCCTGTTTGATATTAGCTGCTAATGTGTTAATTTGCTAAATTTTGTAACCTTTATGGGTGAGGCATTTATAATTCAAATTTTACTGAGGTATATCATTATGAAAAGATTTTATACAAGACATTTCGCAAGAATTGAAAATCATAGTTATCCACATAACTATAGCTGTATTTATTTATGTTATTTATGTGAATGATTCTCGTATTTTTCCAGTGAAATCAAGACATGTCTAAAAGCCTGAAAATTGGAGCTTTATAAACTGACACTGTAAAATGTTACATGCTATATTTGAACTTGATGTGATGATCACAGTAAACAAAACACAGTACATTGACTTTCCTTTATGTGATGCACCTGGTATATTTTATCAAGATCTTATAACTCTGAGCAAGTAAGAAAGCAAAATATGACGAATCAGTATCAACAAGTTTTCCTTCTGCCTAAAATCTAAATATGAAGGTAACAGAGAACAGGATTATATAGTATGAGAAACCACAAAGAATGCAGAACAAACACAGATGTTGTATTCTCCTTCCCAGCTAAGCCAGTTTTACTATTTACAAGACTTATCCAATGATAAGCCCATGCCTAGTGTTGCAGTTACATACAAATGTCAATAAATATTTTTTCAAGGAAATGTAATAAGATGATGCGTTTCTCAATTACAGTCTGATGTGTTGACAACTTTGATTTATTACAGCGGACAAAAAGTGAAATGTTGAACAAAATAATAACTTCAAGTTTCCAAAGTGATCCCTATAAATCCTCCATCTTGACACTGTAGTACCTGTTTGACTGTGCCAAATCGAAGCATTCTACATTGGTTGGGTTACGTTTGACAGTCTCCTGGAACAACTTGGTATAGTAGTCCATATCCCAGTCATCAAAAGCCAATCCTGACAAAACAATTGGCAAGAAACTAGAAAATATCTTTACAGATTCTATACCACATTCTCATGAAAATTAGTTTGGTATGACAATTTTCTACAGTAATGAAATGGTTAGCGAGACTTTGGCATCCTAATTATCATAACATTGATTAAATTTTGTTTCAAATTCAACACCCTGATTTGGTTATCTTTTATAGTAACAGTGACCTTGACCTGCAACTTGGAAATAGACGCTCTATAAAGTATTCTCATTGATGAATTCCAGCATCGTATAGTTTGTATTCAAAATTAGAAAAGAGTTGCAACAATGAAGCATTGAAATGAAACAGGATATGATAAAGAATGGTAACAATGGAATGGACAGGAGAGCCAAGGTTAAAAATAACATAAATATAATATACTGCACACATTCTTCAAGTGATGTAATTCAAGTTCTGTCAAGTTATCTCCAATGGTTAAGAAAAATGGAAAGTCATATCAAGGAATATGCTAATTATATCAACTTACCTAACTCTGTGTTGGCCATTTCCAGGGCTAAGCGTCCATTCTCCATCACTTCCACTTCATAAACATCCTCAGTAACTAATTCCTGATCAAAGCTATCAATGGGACGTAAATAGCGACACTGGGTCATTCGATCATGAAGGTTAGTGACAATCCTCTCCTCCATCTCACTTGTCAAAGAGAATTCGGGCTTCAGAATGATCATATAGCGGACTGACCTCTCTATACGTAGTATATGTTTCAGTCCCGCTGCTTTACACATGGACACAGCATTTGTAGAAAATGGAGTTGTAAAATTTAACCTTTAAAGAAAACAGAAACCTTCATATTTCCTTTTCTCCTCACAAATTTTTTTTTAGAAATTAAAGCTAACACTTGTGAACAACTAATAGTAATAAACAAACTATCCTAACTCTACATAATCCACAATCTTATCCAGGCCCTGTCTATTCATAATCCACAATCTTATCCAGGCCCTGTCTATTCATAATCCACAATCTTATCCACGCCCTGTCTATTCATAATCCACAATCTTATCCAGGCCCTGTCTATTCATAATCCACAATCTTATCCACGCCCTGTCTATTCATAATCCACAATCTTATCCAGGCCCTGTCTATTCATAATCCACAATCTTATCCACGCCCTGTCTATTCATAATCCACAATCTTATCCAGACCCTATCTCTACATAATCTACAATCTTTCTGTGGCACTATCTCTTTATAATCCACAATCTAACTATGGCACTATCTCACTATAATCCACAATCTTTCTGTGGCACAGTCTCTACATAATCCACAATCTTATCCAGTCCCTATCTATTCATAATCTACAATCTTTCTGTGGCACTATCTCTTTATAATCCACAATCTTTCTGTGGCACTATCTCTTTATAATCCACAATCTTTCTGTGGCACAGTCTCTACATAATCCACAATCTTTCTGTGGCACTATCTCTTTATAATCCACAATCTTTCTGTGGCGCAGTCTATACATAATCCACAATCTTTCTGTAGCGCAGTCTCTACATATCCACAATCTTATCCAGGCCCTATCTCTACATAATCCACAATCTTTCTGTGGTGCAGTCTCTACACAATCGACAATCTTTCTGTGGCGCAGTCTCTACATAATCCACAATCTTTCTGTGACACAGTCTCTACATAATCCACAATCTTTCTGTGACACAGTCTCTACATAATCCACAATCTTTCTGTGGCACAGTCTCTTCATAACCCACAATCTTTCTGTGGCACTATCTCTTTATATTCCACAATCTTTCTGTGGCACTATCTCTTTATAATCCACAAACTTACCGTGGTCCTATCTCTACATAACCCACAAACTTACCGTGGCCCTATCTCACTATAACCCACAAACTTACCGTGGCCCTATCTCTATATAACCCACAAACTTACCGTGGTCCTATCTCTATATAACCCACAAACTTACCGTGGTCCTATAACCCACAAACTTACCGTGGTCCTATCTCTACATAACCCACAAACTTACCGTGGTCCTATCTCACTATAACCCACAAACTTACCGTGGTCCTATCTCTATATAACCCACAAACTTACCGTGGTCCTATCTCTACATAACCCACAAACTTACCGTGGTCCTATCTCTATAATGACATGACCTTCCATTGCCTCAGGGACACTTGAGATCAGAAAGGAGTGATTGGAAATATGTCCCTCCTCAAATGGAGTGCCCAGTATCCATTTTAACTTCCCCATGTCTTCTTGTTCTAAATCTAAACAACAGATATGTATTATAGTACATGTTCAAATTGATCAAGTTATACAAGAAATAAAACTTTCCTTTACAACAAAAATTATTTTTATCATTTGATCTTGAAAATACTATTAGTTTTAGGTGATGCATCTATAAAACCTATATACATTTATTTTAACATACAACATCTAAATACATTCATCATCATCATCATCATCATCATCATCATCATCATCATCATCATCATCATCATCATCATCATCAACAATATTAGTACAAATCTCATCATTGTCATTTTCTACATAAATCTCATCACTGTTATCACTGGAGTAAATCTTCTATAAAACTTATAAAACGTCTTACCTTCATCGCTATTTCAAATACATGTATAATAGAACAGAATATTTTGAATACCCTGCTACATATTAGATTTCAAACTGACAATCCAGGGCTAAATTTTATACTGTAACACACCATTTATGCCGATGTAGAACCATCAAAACCTTCATCATCTATGTTGCAGAAACATCAAAAACTATTAGTGTCTATAACAATGTATAAACATCCCAAACTTTAATCATCTTCATTGATGGAGACACAGGTCAATTTATCACCTTAATCATCCCCAATACTGATATAGAGACATCACCATTATTCATCATCTATGCCGATGAAGACACAGATCACAAATCTTCTTCATCTATCTATGGTGATGTAGAAACATCACAAACATCAGTCATCTTCGCTGCTGGAGACACAAATCACAAACCTTCATCACTTCAATCATAAACCTTCACGCCCTATGCTGATGTAGAAAAATCACAAACTTTAATCACCTTCTCTGATGAAAACACAGATCACAAATCTTCATCCTCTATGATGATATAGAAACATCACAAAATTTCATATTCCATGCTGATGAAGACACAGATCACAAACTTTGACTGTCCATGCTGATATAGAAACATCATAAACTTTCATCATCTATGCTGATGAAGATCGAGATAACAAATCTTCATCATCTATGCTGATATAGAGATATCACCATTATTCATCGTCTATGCTGATATAGACAAACATCACAAATCTTCATCATCTATGCCGACGAAGACACAAATCAAAAACCTTCATCATCTATGCTGATGTACAAACATCACAAATCTTCATCATCTATGCTGACGAAGACACAAATCACAAACCTTCATCACCTATGCTGATGAGGACACAAATCACAAACCTTCATCATCTATGCCGATGTACAAACATCACAAACTTTCATCATCTATGCCGACGAAGACACAAATCACAAACCTTCATCATCTATGCTGATGTACAAACATCACAAATCTTCATCATCTATGTCGACGAAGACACAAATCACAAACCTTCATCATCTATGTCGACGAAGACACAAATCACAAACCTTCATCATCTATGCTGACGAAGACACAAATCGCAAACCTTCATCATCTATGCTGATGTACAAACATCACAAATCTTCATCATCTATGTCGACGAAGACACAAATCACAAACCTTCATCATCTATGCTGACGAAGACACAAATCACAAACCTTCATCATCTATGCTGATGTACAAACATCACAAACCTTCATCATCTATGCCAATGAAGACACAAATCACAAATCATCATCTATGCCGATGAACACACAAATCACAAATCATCATCTATGCCAATGAAGACATAAATCACAAACCTTTATCTATGCTGATGTACAAACATCACAAACCTTCATCATCTATGCCGATGAAGACACAAATCACAAACCATCATCTATGCCGATGAACACACAAATCACAAATCATCATCTATGCCGATGAACACACAAATCACAAACCTTCATCATCTATGCCGATGAAGACACAAATCACAAACCTTCATCATCTATGCTGATGAAGACACAAATCACAAACCTTCATCATCTATGCCGATGTACAAACATCACAAATCTTCATCATCTATGTCGACGAAGACACAAATCACAAACCTTCATCATCTATGCTGACGAAGACACAAATCACAAACCTTCATCATCTATGCTGATGTACAAACATCACAAACCTTCATCATCTATGCCGATGAAGACATAAATCACAAACCTTCATCATCTATGCCAATGAAGACACAAATCACAAATCATCATCTATGCCGATGAACACACAAATCACAAATCATCATCTATGCCGATGAAGACACAAATCACAAACCTTTATCTATGCTGATGTACAAACATCACAAACCTTCATCATCTATGCCGATGAAGACACAAATCACAAACCATCATCTATGCCGATGAACACACAAATCACAAATCATCATCTATGCCGATGAAGACACAAATCACAAACCTTCATCATCTATGCTGATGAAGACACAAATCACAAACCTTCATCATCTATGCTGATGTAGAAACAGACTTCTGTAAGAAGCCTTGACAATCCATTCCCAATCAATGAGGCTATTTTCCGCTTTGTGGCATCACAGCATCCTTGTGTTACTCCCCCTTTCTTGTAAAGTTTCAGGATCACCATTCTACATGGAAATGACAAATTTCATTCACAATCCGGAATACAACTTTTCATGCACATATTGATAAACTGGCAAATCAAGCATTCGACATTCTGGTATATATACAGTGTATACCATAATAATTTATACAGAAAATACCAATGGATGGATATTATCAGTATTGGTCAACATTGTCAGATGTTGCGGAAAGTCTTGAAATTGTTTGGGACACCTATCTATAGTGAAACAGGGCTCTCAATCTGCCAGATTTGGGGCCGAGTATTCCAAATGCAAAATAGTATTTTTTTTCCCAATTTAGACTCCAAATTTTCCTAATTCTAAGGAAAAGACAGCTATTTTTCCCAATTCTAAGGGCCCCAGGCCCCAGGCCCCAGTCCCAAAATGGGGTGTGAGAGACCTGTGAAAAATGTATTGTTCTAATCCACTGGATATGTTCTAATATAGACATATCTATAGACGTAGCTCTTAATTGCCTATGCTAATCAGCTCTTCCAATGGCTAGAGTTTAGGAATTAAAATCTGAGACTGGACTGAGCTACCTTCAACATGTGTTGCTGTGGGTGACCATTTCAAGAACATTACATATAGAGGCTTTTAGCCGTGTTCATCAAATTGCTATCAAATATAAGAGAACCACACTGCCTATCATCTGCAAGACAAAACAGACATAATAGTAATGATGCATAACCAAATTAATAACCAATAAATTCAACTTCACATTTAAATCAACACAACATCACTCCTGCTTTTTTGTTTCTATTGTCCACAAATATAATCATAATTTGTCAACAAATTATAACACACCAGATAGCACGTCATCTACACCTTCATTGTTCCGGTCCCAAACCCTAATTATCAATACATATGCATCAAGTGATCACCTGCATCGCTCTTTTTCGGCTTACATAATTCTTTGTTTATCAGTGCTAATATTACAACCTGTTATAGGACCAAAAAATGTAAAAAAAAAAAAAAAAAAACCGTTTAATTGGTACACTGATATCGTCACGTCGTTGTGAATATTAAATGTTTAACTACACCAGGTAAATTATATACATGTTGAATGAACACTAACATCCTTGAAGTGGGAACTTGAAAGTTCTAGGTTGTGTTGATCCACCTTTCATACACGCGCACAAGTTTTCTGCTTTCGTTTTGCCGCCGCCTTGGCAAGGGGAGTAACTCTAACATCTTTTATCGTGTTAAAGGTTTCACGCTAGTAAATACATCTATCATTACCGATTACTGAGAGCAGACTTGAATTACGTACTGGTAATTTCGTGAATACTTCGTTATGTATTTCACTTACCCTCATCATTTCCATGTTGTTGGAGTACTGTCTCTGGACGGCTAAAGCAGGAACGTGTAATAACCCTCTCTATTATACGTCCCAGTCCGAACTACACGGTAGCCATTAATTTCGACTACAGTGACTGGAATTACTCAGTTCATCGTATAACATCGTATAACCGGATACCTCAGTAATACTTTCAAGAACACTGTTGTATCTGATCCTACGGTAAATATGAATAATTATGTATTTTCTGGATACTGCAATACACCCTTTGATCTCCTGGCCGGAAATCATGTGACAGGATTTGCAGGAAGATCTCTTGCAATCATAACTAATATAGTTACTTATAGAAAACACCCCATTGTTCAGTAACCAAATAACGGTCATTGTATAAACAATTTTACAGGTCTGCTCATCCTACTGTATAGTTTACGTTTGTAGGAAGAGCATCCATATTGAGTACTGAAAAACACATTTGATTTAAGATACATGTATGTCATTTATTGTTGCATTAAATAATTTAGGCTGCTAAGAAAATATATACTTTCTTAGAAACCTATAAAAGAAACCAATGATTTTATACTGACCACAAAAATGCACAGTTGCTGAGTGAAATAATTGACGAGGAACTTAAATTGGTAGTTTTTTTCGGTCACTTATATTGTCAGCATTATAGAAGAGTCCTACAACATAGCATTGTCAAAGTCATGTAAGAGTCATTTAGCATTGTCAGAGGCGTATAAGAGTCGTTTAACATTGTCAGAGACATGTAAGAGTCGTTTACCATTGTCAGAGTCGTGTAAGAGTCGTTTAGTATTATCAGAGTCATGTAAGAGTCGTTTAACATTGTCAGAGACATGTAAGAGTCGTTTGGCATTGTCAGAGACATGTAAGAGTCGTTTAACATTGTCAGAGACATGTAAGAGTCGTTTGGTGTTAACATTGTCATTGTCAGACATGTAAGAGTCGTTTAACATTGTCAGAGACATGTAAGAGTCGTTTAACATTGTCAGAGACATGTAAGAGTCGTTTAACATTGTCAGAGACATGTAAGAGTCGTTTAACATTGTCAGAGTCATGTAAGAGTCGTTTAACATTGTCAGAGTCATGTAAGAGTCGTTTGGCATTGTTAGAGTCATGTAAGAGTCATTTAGTATTATCAGTCATGTGAGAGTCATTTAGCATTGCCAGAAGAATGTAAGAGTCGTGTATCATTGTCAGAAACATGCCAGGTTTGTTTAGCATTGTCAGATTCATTTAAGAGCCAAAGAGCGTTGTCAGCGTTATATAGAAGAGACAACTTTATAGTTCTAAACGTTTCCTGTTCTTAGTTCCTTACTTGCTGCCAATGTACCTCCATATGTCATACTATGTATTCATTTTTAACGAGCTGACTTCTTAACAAAGCGAACGCATCTAATTTGTATAGGCATTAGATTTACATCATAATTCAGAGCCTACACATTTGTTGCAGTTACCTCCCTTGCACTTTAAAACGGTGGTCGTTAGACCAGTAATATTAATTACGTAGAGTAAAGTGTCCGATACAAATTAAGCAGTGACTCTACCAAAGAGTGTGCGCAATATTTCAGATACATACAGATATTCTGGGAAGCAAACGGCTACTAATAGATCCTTGAGTCATGTTCTCTCCCAAGCTGTACCGTTGGCACGTACGTAGAATGCAAGACATACTTGGTAATGTTACACAGGGACGGGACTACCTGCCAGCTTTTCTGTGCTTCGACTTTAGGACATCCGTATGACTATGGATAAAATCTACTCACTTGAACAAATTTGCGGTATCACATGTTTCTGTTTTTCAATGTTTGTTGTTTTAAAAATCACCCTTTTACATACGTTTTCCAGTTTGAATTATTTGAACATCATGGCAATGCTTTTATTTCCACGTGACTGAATGAAGGGATATTTTGTATGTCGGGTTACTTTTTAACAAGTAATAGGTTGTACGTTTACAGTCCGTTCTGCAGAAAGTTCTGGTCAGTCAGCTATCCGCGGCTGGGTTCGATTTTCATTCACTTTGAATCACACACGCCTATAGCAATACCATAAAGTGTTCGCTATAATGTAATGCTATACATTAAATATGTGTGAATTCATGAAATTAACAAATTTTGAACTTTTTTGTTTCTAAAAGAAATTGAAGTCAGTATTTAAGTACAGTTGGAGTACTAACCGTAAATACATCTGTCGATATTTTTGCGAAAGTGATTGATATATCGTACGGACAAGTTCCTTAGTGGTTTACCACTGTTGAAGGGCCATCAATCGAATATGATCGAGTGTAATCTGGGTGGTTAACTTCCTCAATTAACTCGTGTACCGTTTGTCCTAGAATATATCAACCTGTTGGCCCGTGTAAAGCCACTACCCTGTCTGCTTCAAACATTGAACCTATAGTGGTTATATCATATGAGAAACAATATCGTCAGTGGTACATGTATTTGTATAACGTGATTAAATCGTCCAGATCTGTCACGTTGACGATGAAGTCATGTTCCAACCTTTTTTTGTTTTAGGGAACGTATCCAAATTTCATTGAATTCAACACTAGTTTTCTCCTTCTAAAAGAATGTGAAATAATTGCCGAGAAAAATAAGCCACATAAAAAAATATGAGTAAACTGCTGTTAAAACAAATAAAAAAATCATAACAAACCGATATACACCACCAATGAAAACGCCGAAAATGCAGATAAGTACACGTGACGTAGCACACAAGCTTCCGCACACGACTTCCTTGTAAAAAATTGAAAGTACCAACAATGATTTGATTTCCCCACTGACTTATTCTTTCGTGATATCTCTAACCTTTGGAGAGTACAAGAAATATCGACATGTACACCCAAATCAGAGCCGGTCACGCTTACTTCTACATGGCTGTTTCGGTTTTTATTCAAAGCGATCAATACAGTTGTGTAAAACCGAACATTCAATTTTTAAATCATCATTTGATATTTATATTACTTTTTATCATATGCTGAATACACATTTTTCCGCAAAAATTAAAAACGTTGAGAAGTTAAAGGATGAAGATAAGACAGTGTTTCATAGACTGAGTATTCGGTTTAATGTGTGTGTCCCAGTCTAGTTACAAGCCAACTAATAATATATGCATATAAAGAATCTCGGACAGGATGGCAAAAAGCGTGCAGACAGGTTCGGTTTGATGGATCGAGCTGCTTGACTAATCTTGTTGGATTTTTGCATTGGCCTCATTTAAAAAAAAACATTTTTAAAATATCCGTATACAAGGAATAATTTCTGTCCAGAGAACACCAATTGTTAATATTGAATTTTTGGAACAAGAAAAGTAAATAACACTAAAAATGTGTTGGTCTTGTTTCCTTCATATAGCAAGTACATTGTGCTCTTACATTTGTATCCTGCCTTCAACTTATTTGTATGAAGTAAACATGTTGCTGTCAGAAAACCAGACACCCACTCAACAGTTTTACGAGAATAACTTATATATCAATCATTAATTTGAAACCATACCCTTTAAACTAAATGTATCTTATCGTGTAAAGGCGTGATATCAGCAGTTTTGATGACCCCCTTTGAGAAGATGAGATACATACAGGGGTGGGGTACGTTGACAGCGGAAAAAACTGTAAACTGTCGTATCCTAACCAGCATCGAATATTATGCGAGTGAACATGGAGTGGTTCATTGTGATAATCTGAAA